GTGGTGGATGCCCCATCCCTGGAAACATTCCAGGTCAGGTTGGACGGGGCTCTGAGCAACCTGATCTAGTTGAAGATGTCCCTGCCCACGGCAGGGGGGTTGGACTAGATGGCCTTTAGAGGTCCCTTCCAACCCAAACTGTTCTATGATTCTATGATTCCTTGTCTCCAGCTAGAATTTCTCCTTACTGTAACACATCACCACTGCTGCTTGTCCTGTCACCATGCACCTCCAAGAAGAGTCTTCCTCCGCCTTCTCTAAGTCCCTCTTCTAGCAGGGAAGCACCACTGCCAGATCCTCACCTTCAGCTTCCTCCTCCCCAGGCCAAACAAACCCAGCCTCCGCAGCTTCTCCTCGTGCACCACGTCCTCCAGCCCCCTGACTGTCTTGGTGGCCTCCACCAGACTCGGGCCATTTTGTTGACCTCTGTCTTGTACTGGCAGCCCAGAACAGGGGACAGGATCCAGCTGTGGCCAAGAAGAGGGAATATTCAGTTCCCTCCAGCTGCAAGTTATGTTCTTATTAATGCAGCCCAACGTGTGGCTGGCCTTCATTGCTGCAGAGTGCACTATCAACTTGCTGTCCACCAGGTCCTCAGGCTCTGCTCTGAAAGGCCACCAGTTGGTACTGACGTACAGGGATTTTCTTCCTTGGTGAGAAAGACTCTGCATTTTTCATAGCTAAAGCTCACGAGATTCCTCCTGGGCCATTAATCCAGCTTACTGAGGTCCCTCTGAATGGCAGCCCTGTCCTCCAGCATATCGCCCACTCCCTCCAACTTACCGTCATCCACAAACTCAATGCAAGTGCATTCACCCCACCCACCTGGGTGATGACATTACACAGCATTAGCCCAAGGACTGACCCCTGAGGAACACCACCAGCTAGATTTTCAACAGTTGACTAGGCCAACTGGGTAGTAGTTCTTCAGGTCCTCTTTCCTGCCCTTCTTGAAAAAGAGCATAGCATTAACCTTTTTCCAGTTACAACAAATATCCCCCAGTCATCACAACCTTTCAAAGATGACAGAGACGGTGACATCAGCCAGCTCCACCACCACCCTCAGATACCGTCCAGCCCTATGACTTTACCTAAGCAGTCACTTTCTTGAGCTTCCACCACGCCTGGCATTACCTCTCACCCACAAGCTCTTCTACTAGGCACACAGACTAAGGAGGAAGATGTAAAGGAAAATGGGTTGGTCCCATTTCTTTGGAAGGAACATGGATTGCTCTTTCTATTCATTCAGAACTAACTATTTTGGGTTTCACAGAATAGCCCACGTTGGAAGAGATCTCGAAAGATCATCTAGTCCAACCTCTTGTGGGAAAGGGAGCCTAGATGAGAGCCTAATTTGCAATTAGAATAGAATAGTTCGGTTGGAAGGGAACTACAACCATCATCTAGTCCAACTGCCTGAAAGAAGAACATACTAAATTCCTAGTATCTGTTAACACTGTTCCTCCAGGCATCAACCTCTTCTCTACTTAGTCCAAATAAAGACAAAATTTAGTTTAAGTATCTACCCGAGATTTCAGAACAGCTCGTTTCACACAAGATAGCTAAGACATCTTATTTTCATTCCTGTGCAAAAATCCCTTAACTGCTTGCTGTCCAAATCATAACTCCAATACAAACATTTAACAGCGTTCCTCAACATTTTTATGTAATGAGAAGGTGAACTACTTCTTTATATGCTCAGCTTTGGACCACTGAAAAAGCAATGAGTATCCCCTGATTTTTAGATTTTTGTTTGTTTAGATCATATTTACAAGAGCTGTAATTTGGATTGTACTGTCCTCTGACTTTTACAAAAATACTCATTCCTTTATCTTTTACACACCAAATTACCATTGAAATAAAAGGTACCTCTGTCAGAAGTACCTTATTTTGATGTTTCTACTTAGCTTAAAAAAAAAAAAGAGAAAGAAAAATTTCTATTAACGATAGACTTTTGGGAACATAGCCATCAATTTGCAGCACTTCAGAATGAGAACCAAAGACTTGACACTACTGGATCCTAATTGTAATACCTATGCTTAGCTAAATGTAGAATCAAAAACTTTGCAGGACATGGCTCAAATCATCCTCATAATCAAAAATAAACTAAAAGAGGAAACAAACCGTTTTCACTGATAAAACAAAAAACAACATAAACAGTAAAAAGTATCACTGTTGGTTACAGAATTTCTTCTCACTCTTACAGCCTGATGCCAAAAGTTCCATAACATCTTTAAATTATCATAAACGGGCACGTTGGCTGGAAGATACAGTCCCAGTCTCTCTTCAGTAAGCAAAAACTTGAGGTAAGAGTTGAGTAGATATTTCTTAAGCCAATTTTAACCACAGTTAACAGCCCACTGCCTAGCTCCTCTGGTTTGTTGTCTGTTGGAAAATGTGACAAAACAACACAGAGGCAACAAGTAACCAGGGCACAGCAGCACAGGCCACTTCATTTGACAGGCAAGCTGGGGCTTGCTGATTTATGTGGCACTCGTGAAACTACAGCCTTGCATGTTGCAAGTTACGAACACAGGTTTTTAGCGTTATTCTCTCTTTGTCAATTGAAATTATAGCTAAAATAGTCTCTTGCAACACAAATATACAATAAAGGTGTAAGAGCAGCCATACTACGACAGACAGAAGATCCGCTTGGCCTACTGTCTGTCTGCACCTGCATCCCCTTGACCCAGAAGAGCAGTAGTACACCAGCAACAAGCTTGGCTCAGCTCCATCTGCTATTCCCAGAGCTGAGCTCCAGTTGTCAGAGCAGCAATTAAACCACAGTGCAAAACAAACACAGAGAAGGAAGCAATGGCCACCATAAAACAACAAAATTTGATACCCAGAAAGGATCAAAATAAACTGACCTATAATGAGTACCATGAAGGTAAAACAAGAAGCAGGAGGCAAGTTCACCGGTCCATAACTTCACATACAACTTAGACTCATACAGTTAACTGTGAAATTTGTCTGTAAATCAGCATTCAAATGAACTTCATTTCTACTTAAATATATACAAGAATACATAGCAGTGCAAGAACCACTCCTGCTATTCTCTGGCAAATTACCCTTCCTGAAGGCATATGGTGAAGGTCCTTCAGCCTTTTGGAAACTGAATTAAGACTACACTATCCAAGTCCCCATAGCCACATGTTTGTTGAGGCTGGACTTGCCTAGACTACACTATCCAAGTCCCCATAGCCACGTTTGTTGAGGCTGGACTTGCCTTTAACATGTCATATTTATTCACATGGCTGTTTCCATTCTTCACTTTAGTTTCTATTATTTTTCCTGATAAGATTGAAACCTGTACCAACCCGTGATTCTTCCCACGGAACGTTTGTAAAATTTGATATGACATCTACCACTGGCTGCCATTTGGCTGTGGCACCTCCAAGTTCCTTCAGAGCTCTGGGATGAAACTCTGAAGACAGGAGTGATCACTGTCTGATCCTTGCAACTTTTCATTTTGAGTCATCCTCTTGTACCTTTCCTAATACAGAACTGCGGACATGACATCCAAAAACATCTCCAGACCCAAGTGTCCGACATCAGCTGTTCAAGTACCCTGCACAAAGATGCCTCCCAACAATTCGCAAGAGTCAGAACTTGTGCAGGTGCTACAAGCCCTTTACACTTCTGGAAACCCCCATGAGAACAGCGGGACAGTTAAGACCAGGTGCCAGAACAGTGCAATACCACAGGAAGGAAGCTTCCCAATGCTCTCACAAGGGGCAAGCTCAGGAAGACATTCATTCCAGAACATGGGGGTGGCAGAATGTGATGGGACACCCATGATCTCCAGAAATCTCCTCTCCCCCATCTCCAGCATTGATATGAACACAGCAAAGTGCACAGAGCCATCTATGAGCCCTTCTAGGGCATGCATGGCTCCATGGGGCCACTCCAGCCCCACTGGCTCTGACTTCCCAGGAGGGTTAGTAGCCTAAGCCCTCTCCAGGGAAGAGTAAGGCGCAAAGGAAACAGGACAATTACACACACGCCCTCCTCCCAGGAGAGGAGGAGGAATCAGGCTAGTTACAGCCAGCGTTCTCCCAGGGGAGAATGCAGGGGATGGAGAGGGATCAGGCCGGTCAGAGCCCCCCTTTTCTCCGTGGCAGGAGAAAAGGGTGACACATCTGTCGCATCCCCCCTTTTTCTGGGGCAGAAGAATCATCCAGTGATAGCACCTTCCCGGGGCAGAAGGCGAGATAAGGCCAGTTTCCACCCACACATCCACACCCCGCCGCAGTGGAAGGTCAAACGCGAGTGAACCTGCCAGTCACACCCCTCGTCCCCAAGGCCGGAGAGGGGCTGAGGGGCTGCTCAGAGCAGCTACCATCTCCCTGCCGCGTTGCCCCCAAAGGCCGCCTGCCCGAACGCCTCCGCAGACCCCGTACTCACAGGAACCTGCTGCTGCTCCTCCTCCTCCTCCTCCTGCCCCGGCTCCATGGCGGCAGGCAG